TATTTATTTAGACTGAAAGGTCCAGTAGAAAACAATTTCAATTATTTTATAATATTTAATTATTAAAATTTATTAAAATTTACCAATTGTAAATATAATGTACCAGGTACAATCACTCGACCTATCATTGATGTAAAGTATGTAAATATGTTAAGTATTTTTTAAAGAAAATTCAAATAGATGAATATTGTTTGTTTAAACCATAACTCATACCATCAATAATATGTCCAGAAATGTAAGCATCCTCATCTAATGAAAGAGACACTTTCCGTTCACCACTGTGTCCGCCTTTTTGAATGGAAAATTTCATCACAAAATAATCTTCTGTATGGTCCCATTTGATCAATGGCGAAATCATTGGTGTTCCTCGTGAAACCGGAAACTCAATCTTCGGATAGAGCCGTTCAATCGGTAGAGTAAGACCATTCAAAAACATTCTATGATGAAAGCCGGAGAGATCGATAAATATTAGTGAAATGTACACGGATCGATCACTTGATAAGAAAAAAAACTTACTTTCCCAAAGCAGACAAAAAGAAAACGGAATTGTTTGCATGACCACGTTGTGTGAGCGGAATGTGAATAGCGTCTGGCATGGATTTTTTAACAATGGCTTGCAGTAAACCGTGTGGAGCAATTTCAATGATAATCGCTTGCGATGGCAACAATCGAGCGGTCTCTTCGAATAAAACGGGCTTGAGTAGATTGTTTGTGTGATATTCTGCCGAACTTAAATTATTTTCGGGCACGTGCCATTCGGATTCGGGAACACTTGTACCTATTCAAAAAGTATATTCGGTGTTATTTTTCTTTATTTATTCATTTTTTATTGTTGTTGCTTCAAATTATATTCAAAAAGTAGCTTTGAAAATGAATGAATAAATAACGCATTGAAAGCTTACTGAGCCATTTTGCTGATCGAGTCAGTGGCGCTGGAATGATTCCTTTTAGTTTATTCAACAATTTCGGTCCCATTTCACTGATGTATTTTGAATGGTATGGAATGTTTGAGCATTGAACTTCTTTTGCAAAAACTCCGTTTGATTTCAGTTCATCAACGAATTGGGCAACATCTATTTTCGGTCCTGATATTGTTGTTGATATGTTTGAATTATGACATGCCGCTTCAATGCTTGACGGTAGCATGTTTACGATTTTCTCATAGCCAAGACCAACAGCGGCCATTGATCCTTCTGCCACTTTTGTTTCGAAGCTAACTACCTAAAGGGGGAATCACAAAAGAAAAGAATTAATTTAAAATAATCGACAAATAATCGAAATAATCGAAAAAGAATCAATAACAGTTATTAAATAATAGAAAGGCAATTTTTAGTGAATTGCCCCTAGTAACTACCCCACGTGCATACGAACAAAGCATCGTTTGTTCAGCTGTTAGTGTTCCATCTGCATAGGCTACGCCCAATTCACCAACTGAATGTCCGATGCAATAATCCATTGGAACGTCTAGCAATCGAAGTATGTTTACGAGACCAATTTGAATGCATGAGATTCCGATGAAAGCATTTACAATGTGATTGAATGTTTGTGGATCATCTGAACAAATCACTGATAATAAATCAACACCAAACGGCTCGAGAACTTTGTGGCAAAGTTCAATAGTTTCACGGAATTGCGGAAAAATCATTAAAGATTTGCCCATAGTGGCCCATTGAGAGCCCATTCCACTGAACATCCAAACCACCGCCAATTTATTGCCATCTGCACGTTTTGTTGCACGCGCCAAACTCAATGCATTACCGACACTTGTCGGCGGCGGTGAATTGCTTTTACTGAGAATTGTGTATCCGCGATGCAGATAACCTTGTACCTCTTCTGATTGGACGTTATGCAAAAGACCGATAAATTCGGCATCAAGTGGTTGAGATTCCAATGCATTTAACATTGTATTTACAGCATCTTCGGTACGCCCAGCCCAATTAACTAAATCGTCGTGGAAAAAATGTTTGTATTTTATTGAAAAAAAAATTAATCGATTTAATTCGCAAATACATCTACAATTCTAATTGAAAATCTACCTAATCGTGGTATATTATCGTTGGGTGATCCTCCATTGATTTTAGTTTTTGGATTCTTTGCCAACAACGCATGAGCTAAAAAAATTTGAATTAAAGTTGCTAAGCTAAAATACAGTTTTTTTATTCTTACATTAAAATTCATTGGAGTCATTTAAATACATGAATACAATTTAAGTAATTTGGAAATGAGAAATTGAACAATAATGTCATTTACATTTTTCAAATAGTATAAAATGAATATCAATTAGTCACTATACCATTTGCACCTCCGAATCCAAATGAATTTATTGCGATGTGATCTCCAACGAAAGGTGTCGTTTCGTTACAAACGATCATTCGTTTTTGATTCAATGCTTCAATCGATGTTCGCACCTTTTCGAAATTAATATTCGGTGGAACTTTTCCATTCTCGAATGTCAAAACAGCTTTAGCAATCGAACAAGCCCCAGAACTCGATTCAGAATGTCCGATATTTGATTTAACCGAACCGACTAGCAAAGGTTCACTACGATTACGACAAAATATATTGTCCAATGCCTGGCACTCTTGAGGATCGCCTGCCAATCCAAAGATTATAAAATTTACAAATGAATTGATATAAATATCATTTATCTTACGCATGTGCTGGCACATACTCACCCACAAATGTACCCGTCGAGTGCGCTTCTACATATGAAATTGTGGTTGGATCCATTTGAAGGTCATCATAAAATTCGGCTAGTAATGCCTGTTGCACTTCTCCCGATGGATACGTAATACCTTTGAGAACCAAAAATGCAAATGACAACAATTCAGTTCAACAAATAGCCAAACATCCAACAAATATACCTTCAATTTTGTATCCATCACAATTTGCTTTTGAGTAAACCACATTGGCATAAATACGTTTTGCTTCTTTTGCTCGCTGCAAATACATTACACAAATTGCCTCTGAACGAGTATAACCAGAAGCTTTATGATCAAATGGGCGGCAATATCCATCTTTTGCAATGACACCCAATCTAAAAAAAATCACTCTCATGAATGATGTGAAGGCTATTTCAAAGTTGATATATTGAGTCTTACCTTGCAAATTGAAGTGTTGTATAAGGATGCAAACAAAGATTTGATCCACCAACTATAGCAGCATCACATTCACCATTTCGTATAGCAGAAAAGGCTGCATCTAAAGCGTACATTGAACTTGAACATGCCGTATCGAGCATAAATGATGGGCCTGTCAATCCCAAACAGTATGAGACACGATTTGCAAGCATCGCACGGCTACACCTTATGTTTCAAAATTTATAAATTCAGTGAAATTCTAAAGTCGAAAAGATTCAATCAAAGTCTGTAATTTCCAACCCTGTAATGCCCAGGCCCGAGGGTGTAATATGATTTGGATCATAGAAAAATGCCTTTTCAGATTCACCAAAACATGCCCCAATAAAAACGCCAGTTTTCGATCCACGCACCGATTTAGGACAAATGCCCGAATCTAAAATTGCTTCATATGCGGTCTCGATTAACTAGAAAAAATAAAATAAAAAAAACGTTGCTTAATGTATTGGGACACAGCGAAATTTTTCAAAATCATTTTAAGTGTAAATAACACTGTCAAAAGTATGAAATTTCGTACCAATCTGCATTGTGGGTCCATGCTGTTTGTTTGCTTTTTACAGAAAATAGAACGTGAATTTGTTTGGCGATTTATTATTAGTTTCGAATTTGTTGGAAAATGAAAATAAGTGAGCTGAACGATTCAGTTAAAACAACAATTTCACCTTGTATGGTACACCGAAGAAAGTAGCATCGAATTTTTCAATATTATCAATTACACCCATTCGAGCTGGTATTTCTTCATGATAGTTTGGCCAACGTTTTTCTGATTCAGTCACCATATCCACCTGAAAAAAAGGCGATCGATCATACCGTGCATTTTCTATAATTTTGTGTGATTTTTTTAAATATTGTATAAAACTGATGCATTTCCTCGAAAGTTATATTTTCCACATACTGTTCCTTTCACATTTTTTGCGTTTCGTACCTTTTGATATAGATTGGCTGCGAATTCTCCAACATTCTTTGCACTCGGAAATTTCCCACTTATTCCACTTATAACAATTTCATCACCCGGTGTGGCTGCATACACACGATTATTCACTGTTTTCGCACCTCGTTTCATTTTGCCTTAGTTTTATTGTCAGATGGCAATTTTTTTTTTTAGAAAACTTTTCAACTACTTTTCCACTCCGAATGCTTTTTTCTACTTCGTTTTTTTCTTCGCAGGAATATTATTATTATTGTTACAATTCCTTCTACTATTTAAATGACAATTTTCAAATAATACAAAACAATTTATCGGTCAAAAACACCTTTAAAAAAGATACCAACACTATTTTTTTTCCACCAAAATTACTACGTTTAATACTTATTCTACACTTCGGAACCACGTTTTAATCCAAACACTGAAACTTATCATTGACTAAATTGCCACGTTCGAATGACCGCACTTATATAGGAATTGTTTGTGTGAAGAACTTGAATTATCTAATGAAAAAAAAACTGTTTAATTTACAAATTAATTGCTTTCGATTTAAATTACACTATTTGAAATGCACATTTACATTTTGTGTCTATTCCTTAATATGTAAATTAATGATTAAGTTACGGGGAACCATCAATCAGTTGAATGTAACTATTTAATTATGTAACACGTTTTATTCAAATTTATACGGAAAGCGAAAACCAAAGATAGCCAGAGTTAATCTCATCATTTATTAGTTTTGAGTTTAACAGAGATTTTCTATTTAAAAAAACTTTACGAATTACAATTGGTCACTCGTTTTGTCTATTGCTTCAAATGCAAATTGGGTGACATAGGTGATTCGAAGTGTGAATATCAGTCGATATAAACACCCTTTTTACGCTAATTCTTTAACTGTAATACAATTTGGGCGAATAACATGTTATTCATTTTATTCGTATCGAATATGGAAATTGAATGCATTCTGTTGTATGTTATCTAGGTTGATTAGAGTTCCGTAAAATAAATTATGTAATTTCGAAAGTTCATTCAAATGACAAGTTCAAAAGTTAAACTTCAGGTAAGAGATAATTGTTAACGTATTTTCAAATGACTTTGAACAACTGTTACAAAAAATATATAACAAAAATGCCATGACAAAGACGCAAAAGAAAAACGATTTGCATTACTTCGTGAAATTAATCGCACCATTCATGTCTTGCAATTCATCCACAGCTACATTTCAAATCAATTTATAAATAAGAAATTATATGTTTTGAATAACACAACCAAATGTTTATAGGATAAAAACAACAAATATGTATAAATGTGATGTGTATTTGTTATCAGTTTACAGATATTATACGCGAATTTAATGCGAATCAAGCGCGACACAATCAAGTCTTTAAAAAGATTCATAATGCAGTTTTATATGTATGTCGCATTTACTCTCTGCTGTAATGAGTAATTACATGATTTCACAATGAAACAAACATTGAAATAGTTCGGACTGTTCTCCATACTCAACTTCATTTTACTTCAAGTGCACGGTATTTCTAGCGGTTTTAAATAGTTTAAATAAATTAAGAAAGTTCTTTAATATTGGTAGATTTAGTTCTGGAATATTCAAAACTCACGTGAAAATCAACATGACAATCGAATTCGATGTTTTGGTGTTTTTAGGATGTATTTTATTTTTCATATGCATTGCCTTTACGGCATACAATATCTTTATCCTCTCTAATTGGAACAGTACGTATTTTCTATATAAAATTCATTGAATTAGTCGTTTCTTTAATAAATAAATTTATTCTTTATTTCGATTTTATAGCTCGTAGTTCTGATGTGGGATGTGGCGCATCATCGCATACCATTTCGGTTTGTGCCTTACTCGGAAAAGTATGCAAATAATCTAAAATATCGAGGATGGCGTGATAAATATGGAAAATATGAATCACGAAACAATTATTTAAACGAAGATTGACCCCATCAACGATATTGTAACGATATTACATTACTGCAAATATAAATCGTCACAATGTAATTTGTGAATTGAAATAAATGAATTGATTTGAACACACATTTCATGCCAATGTTATATATAAGTTCTGAATTTCTTCATTTTGAAAAATTGAGTATTTCATATGAAATTCCCTTGTATAGGTCAAACAACTTTTCAATTCCCTTCAGCGCAATAAAAAGAAATCAAATTGTCTATTTTTCCAGTTAGCAAAATCAACGTCAAACCATTCAAGTAAATATTCTTTGTTTATCCCGGTTTATCCTATCTGACTTTATTTCATCGAATTGGCTTGATCCTACTCCGTTCGTATGACAAAAGTTTACACAAACACTAATTAAAAAAATAACGAACGCATACGTCGAACGATCGCATTCGTCGTACGATCGCGTAACTGTATGCAAGTACTACGACTTAGTTCTATACGAATTATTTTCTTCATTCATCACTCCATGCTTTCATCTCCACATTCAATCGGTCTCATTCGGCACCATAGTTTTTATCAAATACGTTGTGAATTTTAACCAAATTTTCAATCGATTGAATTCTATACTCAATTTTCGAATTATTTCGTGATAAGTAATTTTTTTAAACAAATCTTTTTCATAAAATTGAACGTGAATTTTTTTCGCCATTTATTTATTGTCGTGAATTTTGACTATTGCAAAAAAAAAACAAGAGAGTGAACGATTTCTCAAAACAACATTTTTTCCCCTTTTAAATAATTATTTTAAGTTTCTTTGGACACATTTTTTCCTCGGAAAACTTAATTCAGGTGATCTTTATAAATCAATCTTCGAATTATATTTTTTGGTTTTAATGTTAGATTGCTTTTATACTGTATGATTTCGAAAGCAAACACATTAAAAAATATTTTCATTTTCTTATTTTTATACATATTTTATTTTAATATCATAAAAAGAAAACACTTGCGTCTAATTTCTATCAATTCATATTATTTCATAGACCAATCAATAAAAAAAGTCGCATTCGTTTCAACGAATCCACATCAGTGAGTGTAATAGAGTCTCAATACTCATCAATGAGTGAGTCTCGATTCTGCATTAGAATTTGTTGTTTATATAAAAAAGGCGTCTTTTCAGTGTTTACATATATTTTATCTTGAAGCCATAAGTAAAATAAAGAGTCTTACGGGAGTAAGACGAACTTTTCCGCACGGTGGTAGTTGCGTATTTTATTAAGAAAGTTCAAAATAATATTTGTTCGATTTTTCAAGTCTTTCAAGCGGCGTAAAGTTCGAGACCAAAAAATATGTTTCAAAAAATTATTTTTGAAACACTTTTCATAACTAAAGTCACAAAAATTTTGGATTTTTGTATGGGAGCCATGTCTGTATGCTACCTTAATGACGTGAAACTTTGCACAGGTTATTTTTTTTACAAATAACATTCGGAGGGTTTGGAGAAATGTCAACTAAAATTAAGAGTACCTCCTATACAAAATATTCGTTTTTGAGCCAATTGAAAATTTTGTATGGGAGGTACCCCTAATTTTAATTGAAATCTCTTTAAATTTTCAGAATGTTATATTTTTGTGTAAAAAATAGTCTGTGCAAAGTTTCACGTCATTAAGGTAGCATACAGGCATGGCTCCCATACAAAAATCCAAATTTTTTGTGATTTTTTCAAGGAAACTGTATTAAAAATTGATTGTATCTCAAAACTAACGTCGGATTCGGTTTTCTCGTGCCAAAAAACCCCCCAATACATATTTTTGAGTGTTTAAGTATGTCTACATTAAGTATGACTTTTGGACGAAAATTGGACTCTTTTTCATAGGTATCACTCCAGGCATGGAATTTTTTTCCATCAACCAAAGTCGCTCAAAATCTGATGATTTCTATTCCTGGGGACCCCCAATCACCCCGTGAAGTCAGATTTCAAATAACTTTTCTGGGTGGTGAGAAAATCGATGGACAAATTTTGCGTACGGCGGACAACGTACGACGTACGACGTACGACGTACGACGTGGAAGCGACCCACAACAACCATGCTCAAAACGGCCTGATTCGGGTTCTCTGACCTCAGAAACGTCCAGAAAACATGTTTTTGAGGTTTCGTAAATTTTTACCTATTGCAATACTTTCCCCTTTCACACTAGGTGTGTGCGGAAAAGTAAAACAATAATTTTGTGTAGCAACATATCTGATGTGAGAATGTTTATTTAGTTTTATTGTGTATTCAAAGATTATATTCTGCATCTAACTCTCTGAAACGCAATTTTATTTTAAATGCTCTTCAATAAAGTGTTGTCTTAACCTTTGATAATTTGCAGTAAAATGGATTGTGAAGCAACAACGGCTGAACTGTGCCGAACGCTGTACCAGGAAATTTTGGTATCGGTTAAATCCAGTGATCAATTAAAACCATATTCGGTGTGTTTTTCAGCCGTCTTATCAAAGTAAGTTTTCAAACCAAATGATTCAATTTACATGCGCTTACGATAAGACCATACGTTTTAATTTCGTGCAGTGAGATGAATAGCTTTGAAAAAGAATTGCGATTGCTGATGAAACAGTCAGGTGGCATCACGAAAAACCAATATCTTGAAAACGATGATCTTACATTAAACACTAACGGTACAGCTGAACCACAAATGCAGAACGATTATGTTATACCAATTGAAAAAACGGACAACCAACAAAAATCGATTGAAGAAAATTTGATGCGCAATTATGATGAAATTGGAACAACCAATGGGACAGAGACACGGGAAAAAGTAGGTCCCTAGGCTTACTTACTTAAAAATTACTATTCCATTTTTCTACAATTCCTGATCCATTCCTTCGATTCATTTTCCATTACTTATTAATTAATTTCCATTTTTTTCATTTTTCTGATCAACTCTAGGTAGGTTCGGTTAGAAGATCATGTAGGCCACGAGAAGAATGGGACGAAAAACTGCAATTTTTACGACGGCATAGCATGGATGAACCTCAATCTTTGTCGGGTATGTATACAAATTTCAACTGTAAGTGTTTTTTCAGTAATTTAAGTTATCCTGTCAAGGCGAACATCGATCATTGGCAAACGTTAATGAAAATGCTATGAAAAAACGTCATACAAAAATGCGTAAAACAATCGCATCGCGTAGTGAAATGCAACACCTACTGCGAAACCAGCAAGAAGTACAGCTAAAGAATACGAATCGTAACATGCACACAAAAAACGAACTTTATCGTACATTGTGTCAACTTTGTAACAAAAACGAACGTTTTTTGGTCAAGCACTATATGAATCAGCATCCAGGTAGCGAAGTCTTGATCAGTAGACTACCGCCAACAATGGCTGATCGTTTGCGCTCACAAAATGATAAATTTGACATTGCCAATAGGATAATTTCTGGTTTCTGTTATTTTTGCGAAGAATTGAAGTGCATGACAAAGCGTAATTGGACCGAACACATTTTAACCCATACTGGTAAATCATTTTAATATTGCATATGTATAAATTTTTAATTAAATATACTTTATTAGGTGAGAAAATATTCTATTGTTCGGTGTGCCATTTCGAATCAAGACGAAAACTTGATCACAAAAATTGTAAAAATGAACCGGTCAACATTTATGAAGCAAATACAAAAGACGGTTCTTTGACCGGCTTCATTTGTGTGGAGTGCAACTATTTACAAATCCAACATAAACGAATGATTAAGCACCTGGTGAGACAACACGGCTGGGATAAAGATGAAGTTACTGAAGATATTCAGTATGAAAAAGTTGTTCTGATTCCAGATCTATTGCCCGTCAAGGTGACTCGCCCTGTAGAATTTAATTACATTGAAACGGCCAAGCGTTTTAAATGTTCTGTTTGTGCCAAAAAAACAAATAATGCCGAAGCATTCGAAGAACATTTCGATCGAGAACATTGTCGATCAATTAAAGAATATAAATGCATGTGCGGTGAAAAAATAGCAATTGATGGTTTTCTCAATGGTGACAAGATTTTGGAACATTTATATCTGCACAGTGCAAATTTGTATCAATGCATGTACTGTGAAATCTCATTCTTTGACATAGATGGCATACAAGATCACTTATTAAACGATCATACCAACTGTCAATACAAATTTCAGCGCATCCATCGGAAACCAGATTCACAAGCAATTTTCTCCGAAATAATTGCAACGAAACTCATGTGTAATATTTGTAATGTAGAACTGGATGCCAAATTTACTATTGCGATTGAACATTTTAAACAAGAACATCCTAAAGAAAGCATCGATTTTTCTGGAAGCTTATCGAAAAAGATCAGTCAAATGGCAAGAAAAACTTGCGATATCAAAACCAAATATGTGAGTTCTAATTCGTTTACATTAAAAATTAATTAAGTTAATCAATTTTTCTTCTATTTTTTTATTTCAAAAATAAAACATTCTATAAGATAATATTATTTCATCCGAATCACACAAGAAATTTATAATATCATTTAAAACAAAGACAAAAAATGTAATACATTTATTTCAGTTCAATTTTTTTTACACTTTTTCACTCAATATTTAATAAATATTTGATCGCAATTCACCTTGCAAATTCACAATTTTTAATTATTACCATTCAATTCAAATGATGCGCTAGAGTGCTTCTTTTAATCATATTCTCTTACTCTATTGAATAAGCCCATTTGAATTGTTTGAAACCGTTGAAAAAAAATCTTATTTTGTTTCTTTTAAAAATAAACGAGAGCGATTTTTTTTTCATAGCAACGAATCAGTTTTCTTTTACATTAAAAATTAATTAAGTTAATCAATTTTTCTTCTAATTTTTTTTATTTCAAAAATAAAACATACCAGAAGATAATATTCATACAAGAAAAATTAATTATTATATAATTAAGAATTTCTATATGTTTAAATAAATTCAATTCTATTCAAATTCAAAAAATTAAAATAGAAAAAATACATGTAACTGTCAGTTTTAAAAAATGAAATATAGATGGCGGACATAAAGTGAGCAAACTTCAAATAGAAATGTCAAAACAGTTCACATTGATATTAAAAATAAACAAGCAATAAAAATAATGAGTATTTGTTGTTTTTTTTTGTTTATCAATATTTTCAACATTTTTCAATAAGAGAGGATTAACGGAAGGTCGTAATAAAAAAAGCTCTTCATTCTGACAATAAAGTAAATCATTGAATTTATGGACATTTGTCAATAATTCTCAATTCAATAACAATAATGTCGGCATCAGTGGTAAGTTAAACACGAAAAATGGATTTGAATGGGTCAAAAAAGTAAAAAAAACCTAAAAATGTCTTACAAAAATATTTTTTCTCTCAATTAGAATGGTAGTGAATATGACGAATGGGTTATAGATGAAGCGGATTGCGTACAAGAAGCGCAGCAAACAGTATACGAATGCAGTGAAATATCAATTGAAAATGCGCTTGTTCTCAACAAACAAATGCGGGTTTATTTGAATGATTTGAAAGAGGAGCTGGAACGATTGATTAAAGCGTGCCAACAAAAATACAAGCAAAATGAGGAACTTCTTGACGAAATAAACAAATCGAAAAATGAGCCAAAACGTTACACTACATACTACTTTTGTGGCTATCCATATTTCAAAGATCGAAAGGGAGGTGCACCCCCGCAATCAGCCGAGTATTTAAGACGATCAGAGAATGGCAATGAATTATTTCCATTGGATTTGGAAAAACGAGGCATTTGGCTGTCAAGGGACAAAGTCGAATTGGTTCAAGGTGTGAAAAAGCAAGTTGTAACTTATTTATTGTGTCAAAATCGTGCAAAAATTCGAAAAACTGCAGGAAAACGATGTGCCAGCGAATTGTCTGCTAGATTAAAATCGGGTATGGGAATGTGAAATTCAAAGATATGTTTACTGGCAACTATGCATTATCTACCAGAATGACAATAATAAGCATTTTTCAATTACAGAAGGTGCAACATTTGAATCTTTACATTTGAAAGAGCTACTCAAAAGGGTTGAAGGTACCGATTTTCAAATAAATTGGCTTAACATATCAATGGACGCCTTAGAAGACCGACACAAACCAAATGAATGCATGGCGTAAGAATTTTTGACGAATTTTTAAATTATAATATGAATTGTTATTCTCAATTTTTCGTTCTATAGAATGTGGTACGGTTATCTAATGCCAACGCTGAATCGAACACCATGGACACCGGCCGAAGAAGATAAATTATTGAATGCAGCAAAAGATTTTGATGAGCAAAATTGGGGGGAGATTGCCAAATTTGTGGATAATCGTTCACCTTATCAATGTTTTGTTCACTACCAGACTAAATTTAATAAGAAAAATATGCAAAAATATGTTCGATGGACTCCTGAACAGGATAAAAAACTAATTGAATTAGTTGAAAAGTATCGAATCGGCAATGTTATACCGTGGACAAAGATTATGGAAAAGTCGCCAGGACGTTCAAAACCACAAATTTATAATCGGTAAACTAAAAAAGGTTACGGACAAGAATTTTCGACTTTTTCTAATTCTTTTTTGTTTACCTTTATAAAATAGGTACATGTTTTCGTTGAATCCAGAAATAAGTCGTCAACCTTTCACGATTGATGAAGATTGTATTTTGATGGCTGCCATAAAAGAATATGGATGCAATTATCGCGAATTTCCCGCCAATTTGTTACCGGGACGGTAGATACCTTTAATCAATATTCTGTCAATTTTTATTCTAACTATGTTTTTCTTTAAAATCTAGAAATATGAGACAAATGAGAGAGCGTTATAATAACGTATTGAAACATGTTAATGTATGTGAACAGTTTATTTTCATCAAAAATGTCCATTGCTTCCATTACTTATTGATTAATTTCCATTTTTTTCCATTCCTTCCGATGTGATTTAACCTAGGTACGTGAACATTGGTCAGAAGAACATGACATAAAACTAATGGAATTGGTTGAAAAATATGGTACAAGTGAATGGGTTTGTATCAAGCTATAATCATATAAAAATTACTATTGTATTACTTAAGGATTACTATCCATTCCTTCGATTATATTTTCATTATTTCCATTATACATTATTCTCCATTATTTCTATTTTTCTGTTGTGATTCACATCCTCAGGTTAAAATAGCCGACGTATTAATAAGCCATACTCGTACATCGTGCCGGCAACGCTACATAACCATAAAGAAATTTCTCGAAAAGCATCCTGATAAAACGGTGTCAGATGTCCCACGCAGAAAACGTGGATTTTCTACGGATGTGACGACAGAGAATTGGAGAAAGACCTTGATCGAAATGAAAATATCTGACACAATCGATGTATATACTGATGACGATGATGATGATGATAATTGCGAAAATAATGGAACGCGAAAAAAACCATTGTCTAGAGAACTCTATAACAAAGCCTACTACGATTTCTTTAAGTATTCGTTTAAGTTCAAGTTTGGCGATGCTATTTTTGGCAGCGATTCACTGTTTGAAAATGTCCAGATCGCGTGTCAAATCTTACAAGCACCAACTCTACCAAAACAAATCGATCTATACAATCCCGACTTTAGTTGCTATGTAACATTGCAGAATTTTTGCCAAAAAGTTTCACTCGAATCCGATTTACTCAAATCTCTCATTGATCTTGGCAAAAATGATTTCAACTATCCCGTAAATTTGAATACAATACTTGGACTACGTGGCGTGGTAGCAATGTTGGCATTGTCTAAAGAAAACGATAAAAACGATGAGAAAAGTGAACAGAAGAAAAATGATCCCTTGAAAGCAATTAAACCAGAGCCAAACACCAACACCACCAATGATGAACACGATGCATTGAATTTGTTTCGATTACGGTTTAAGTCGATCTTCAAGCAAACGGCAACCCTAGCAAAAATGCGACGAAAAATTACAACCGTCTCTTTACGACTGCGGAATAAAAAAAATAAACGATTGGCTAAACGTAAATCGAAACAAGCACCGGAAATATCAACACCAGAAACCATAACAGATTTTCATAATAACGAGACGATGGTGAGAGTTACTGTGAAAGATAATGAGTTTGAGTGTTATGCCATGAGTGAAAGTGAAGAAAAACCAAATAAACGGCCCAGAATTACAGTGCTTGAAAGTATTACAGTAGGAATGAATGAAGAGATTGATCCATTGTCTCAACCATCAACGTCCAGCCAAACATACAGTAGCTATCGTTACCGAGTTGAACCATCCAATATGGTTATTTATCCATATATAAGTGAGAGTGAAACAGAAGTCATAACCGATGATCAGAGCACATATTCAAATACAGAATTTGTAATTTGGACGCCAACCAGAACAGACGAAGCAACTGGATCCACAACAAAATAATACAAAAATATCGAATAAGTAGTCTATTCATTGTGAATTCAAATAAAATTGTGGTTATGTCAATCGGACTTGTATCGGCATTTGTTTGTAGTTGTAATTATTCGCTTCGACTAGCTGTCATTCTGTGTGACCAGTTTTCAATAGCATGCTGACGTTTGAACATAACCTTTATAAGGTCACTGTAACTGTGTTATCGCATAACGTCACTGTACTATTGTAGCGCCTGCGACATAAGCAGTTCTTTCGTTGCTCTCAATTCGATAAGTTGGCTTTTACTTCGTTCCAATTATTTAATCGATTTGACACAAATTTCTGTAAAAATTCGCTAAAATGTTCTCACGATTGTCTGTTTCGATTGCCAAACAAGCTGGAAAGAATTTCTCCACCACATCACAGGTAAATTGAATTTTTTGACATTTTTGCGATGATGTTCACGGAAAAAAACTGTGACTATTCTCGAATATAGTACTTATTGTTGTTGTTGTTATTATTATAAAGCTTACATTACGTTTACGTAACTACTGAATCCTTATATAAAAAGTGATCAAATGCAGGATAAAAATTGTCGTTATTCTATTTTTGTTTGACGCATTCTTTTTTATTTATTCGAAAAAATACATTTTTTTTAAAGATAAATTTAGTTTGAGTATGTGTCATGTGATGAGTGTGTATTTTTTTCCTCTCTGATTAGAACAATGTTAAAGTTGCTGTTGCTGGTGCAAGTGGAGGAATTGGTCAACCATTGAGCTTGTTGTTGAAACAAAGCCCATTGATTTCCGAACTTTCGTTGTACGATATCGTGCATACACCAGGAGTTGCAGCTGATTTATCGCACATTGATACGCCAGCCAAAGTTCTTGGTTTCAATGGCGCAGAAAACTTAGAAACTGCACTCAAAAATGCTGATGTTGTCATCATCCCAGCTGGAGTTCCACGTAAACCAGGTAACGAATTGAAGAAAAAAAAAACACCAGAAAGACACTTATGTTAATTTTTTAATAGGAATGACCCGTGATGATTTGTTCAACACAAATGCTGGTATTGTACGTGATTTGGCCGTTGCTATTTCAAAAGTTTGCCCAAATGCTTTGGTTGGTATTATTACCAATCCAGTTAATTCATGTGTGCCAATTGCATCCGAAGTATTGAAAAAGGCAGGAACCTACGATCCAAATCGCATCTTTGGTGTATCAACTTTGGATGTTGTTCGTGCTCAAGCCTTTATCGGTGAAGCAACAAACACAAATCCATTGGACGTTAAAATCCCAGTTATCGGTGGTCACTCAGGTGTTACAATTCTGCCAGTTTTGTCACAAAGCGTGCCATCCGTTAATTTTTCACAAGATAAAATCAAAGCACTCACTGGTAATTCTCCTAAAGAAAGCAAATTCATTCAAAACATAAAAATAAAAAAAAATGTTCTTTTCTTAATTTTTAGAACGTATTCAAGAGGCCGGTACAGAAGTTGTTAAAGCCAAGGTAATAAAAAAGAATTGTTGGATTTTCTCAAAAACCCAATCATAATAATGACCACAAATACGATTTTTATTTTTATCATTCAGGCTGGAGCTGGCAGTGCGACGCTATCAATGGCATATGCCGGAGCTCGTTTTGCTCTTTCATTGGTCAAAGCATTGAAAGGCGATCCAAATGTTGTTGAATGTTCATACGTACGTTCAGACGTCACAGCCGCTACATACTTTGCAACACCATTGAAATTGGGCAAAAATGGTGTCGAAAAGAACTTGGGACTACCAAAATTGAATGCTTTCGAACAAACACTTTTAGAAGCCGCCATCCCAGAATTGCAAAAGAACATCAAAAAGGGCGAGGATTTCGTTAAGAATAACTAAATTTCCATTGGACTCACAAAAAAAAAAACAAACAAATGCCGATATATTATCTCCAAATTCTTATCATTTTCTGTTACCAGATTTTTGTCAATTGTATAGAATGAATGTAAGTTGGCTCCCAATTGGTTGCTGATTTCACGCATGACTTTTGTAATATATATAAAAACAAGAAAATAGAAGATTTAAAATCCACAACGAGCATATAAGTTCAAACAGAAATAAAAACGAACCATGATTTAATCAAAATTCAAACATTTTTTTTTCATTCATAATAAAAATTATCGAATGAAAAACGTCATTTGAACTGTTTGTTATAAAAACAAACAAAATATTTTTTTCAGGAAGATTGATTATAAAATATTTTGCTGGGGAGAAAAACAGAGATAACTTGTATTACGGTATGCAAGTAGCGCTCGTTCAAAGGAATGTATTAATATTGCTCATAATGCTATAGCATATGCTATAGTCATAGTAAAAGATAATCAATTTCCGTATGTTTAGAAGGAAATAGAATAACAAATAACTAAAATTGCTTTTGATTCTGAATTTGTCCACTCGGCATTTTTATTCGTTAAAATAATAATTTTTTTTTGAAATCATTCCATCGAATTAAATAGCATTTTTTTTATATTAACACTAAATTGTCTACATTCCTTAATTCTTTTCATTTTCTTTAAATGTTATATTCGCAGTTCGAATAAAATTATTATTAACAATTTTATTATTTTTATGTTTCAAATGTTCATCTTTATCTTCCTTAAAATATGGATTTGAATTTCACTTTTACAAACGAACAAAGATCCCAACGGACAAATATGTAACGTTTTTAGGACATTTTAACGTTAAAAAATGTAACGCTTTAACCCATTTTTGTGGCAATTTTCGTGTCAAATGGAAGGTAGAATATAGGCATAATGTGAACCACTTTTTCGGCTTTTTCGTGTTGCGATACACAACAACATCTTCTGTGTGTTTCGATTGTTTCTCTTTTTGTTATTATATTCTAAGAAACTGTAGCGGCAATACAATGTAAACAAATGTAAATAACATAAACTCGTTGAGTTCATAATATCGTATTCATACGATTGATTTTAAGCAAATGAAATTTGAAAAACAAACCGGAAAAAAAAGAGGATGAAAATACAAATCTTACTCTCTTCTCTCTGTGTGTGTTTCGATTGTGCATGAATAAAAAAAAACATTGCGTAGGAATTTCAAGTGACTGTGAAATACATTTATAAATGTACCTTTTTTTTAGATTTGTTTGATTTGATTTTAGTTTCAGAAACATTTTTTATCGTCATTTTAGCAACGGTTTGGTGTGTTTGGAACGTAACTGTAGAAGTCACTCGATGTCAAATGGAAAGATTCACAGTCCGTTTTGTGACAGTCTTTGTTTTCATTTCAAAATAAAAAAAAACATTTTCATCGTTTTAATCAGGACACAGCGTTATATAGTATAAGAAGTTATTCATTTGAATTGTGATATGAGTGTGTTCTCATTTTTTGTTTGTAACAAATTGTGCTTTGCTTGTAAAAGGAATTCTTGAGAATTATGTGTGAGTGTTTATATTAGAGTATGAAACAATTTGTTTGTCGTCATTTTTGGCTAACATTTGTTCCAATGATTTTGTTTTTTCGATGTTAAACGGATAAATTCACTGTTGGTTTTGAGATTGTCTCTGTTGTTATTTCAAAATAAGAAAGCATTCATAAAATTGACGGTGAATATTCCAACAAAATTTTCATCTGCGGAATATTGGAAAACATTTCATCATTTGAATCAGAATACAGAGTGACATCGTTGAGGTAAGAAGTGATTAATTTGAATTGTGATATAAGTGATTGTCATTTAAATTGTGATCTCATTTTATTCGTAATCTATGCTATTTTTGTTGCATTTTTTTTCTAAATTTGTGTCTATTTTTTATTTTCGAATAATTTAATCAGTTTTTTGAGAATGAACAGAAAAAGACATGGATGACGACGAGCTCGATGATAATCAACCAGAAGAAAGCAAATACGTTGTAATAAAATGTGGACTTCAAACAATCCTGCGACAACAACATGAACGGATTGAAAGAGTTGGAGAAGTTGTGACCAAAATGCTATTCGAGCGCAGTGTTCAAATGACAGAAGTGGCAGCATTGGCATCACTTTCTATTCTTTTTATTTTGAATGAAGCACTTGATAATGACGATCGTGCATTTTTTTTGCAACCACATCCAAGCCTGTTCATTGCCGATTGTTTCAGAGCGGTATTAAACCAACACGTTAACAATATTAATAGTGAATATCGGATATTGCCCAAGTTTCGTTTCATGGTAGAAAGAAACAGTGAAGAACAGTTCCGATGGCCAGATGATGAAAAGTTGGGAAATGGTTTGAGATATTTTTATAAACAATATATCACAAACATTCAAACCAATACCAACACATGGTGTGAAAAACGACTTGAGAATTTTTTTCGAATGCGTTGTTGGTATCGCAATCGATTCCACAATGGCTCAAGATTTGATAACATCGACATCAGAAATGCCAAAGAGTTTTCATATCGATTTAAGAATTTAACAAATGGTAATAATGGTAATAATGTGGATCCACAACGCGTTGAAAAATTCAATATTTTAATGAGAGATTTGACTGAAATTGGATGGTCGGGAACAGTGAGTATGAAATTTTTCGCAAAATATCGTTGGTTTGAATCACTGTGGTTGTTCGGTCAAATGCAACGGCAAATAGAAGTGTATCACAGTCATGCCGAACAATGGAATACCATTCATGAAATGTTTCGTAACAATCCGAACTTTCAAGAGCCAACAATCAATCGACCACCAAAAATAAGCAGTTTTGCTCTTATACCATTATGCGACTACCATTTGAAAAACGTGCGATTGGACATTAAGGACTTGTATTATAAAATTGTAAACGAGCTTGATTTGGTGCCTTCTTTTCTCAATACGCGGACCAACCGGATGAATAAGAGAAATTTAAAGTACTACACCCAAACTGATCGATCAGGTCTATGGAATATGTTGTTCGATGTCGGTGAAATAAATAAATTGGGCAAATCGAAATCATTCCATCATCAGATTTTGACCGATAGTGTTTCAATATCCATAATGTACAAGAAACCACAGCGACAACAACGACCACAGCGACAACAACGACCACAGCAAACAACCCAAGCGAATAGGGGGCCGGAAAAACTCATTGGCAAGAAATACATCATTGGAATCGATCCGAATGAAAAATCGTGGTTAACTGTAGTGCGTCGCAACATTCAAAAAACACCTGATGAGCCGGCTGTTGAGGTAAGATATTTTGAAATGTAATTTGAAATGGTTTTGAATAGAAACTCATAGTTTTTTGTATCATTTTGCATTTTGAAGGAAAACATTATAATACCAAACCAGCGTTTTCATTGGGAAACTCAGCAGAAAAAACGAGACAAAGAAGCGAAAAAGTTGGCTGGATGGTTTGATATCGAAGAGAAGGAACATCTCAAACCATACCCATATCGTCCACCATCACCACGTAATTCAACATGGAAATCATACATTGAATATCGCATTAAAATGTTACGAAAAGGAATGGCAGCTTATGCGACGCGTGAATATGCACGACTGGATTTAGACCATCACATTCGCTCGACCAGAGTAAATGATCAAATCGCCGTGCGTGTGACAAACAACAAACCGTCGTTGGTTCAATTTGGTGCTTGGGCGATGAAACCCGATCGACCGTTTGGAATAAAAAAGCGTAAAAGATGTCCGGGATCGCGTAAGTTTCGTGTGAGCATTAAGAAACTTGGACATTCAGAAGTTGAAATGCAAGATGAATGGGGAACATCACAAACATGCGCGAATTGTCAGGAACGTTTTCCAAGGCACACAAAAGATGATCGATTTAAAGTGTGCTACGATTGTAGAGCGAAAAAGATTGATGGCCTGCCAGATTCAGTCGCTGGACTGCCAGATATCATTGTGTCAACGGTCAACAGACGTGTTTTGAGAAGAAAACGTGCAATTATTAAGCGACAAATTATCGATGGCAATCGTGAGGCTGTGAACGAAAAACTTCGGACTGGGCGTTTAATGTCAAAGGTTAAAGTTACCTACAAAAATTGGCCATTAAATGTTGATGATGATGATGTTGTTCCACAAACAGTTACTTGGCACCGAGATATTGTTGCAGCAAAATGCATTATGCTCAAAGGTATGAATCAATTGGAAACAGAATATTCATTATTTAATGTATTTGCTTTAAATTACATAGGACTTTGCCGGATCTTTGATGTACCATTGCCAGTTTCATTGTTAAGACCGCCGAACTAAAACAACAATGTCAACTAACAAACATCATCAATTAATCATACATTCAAAAAATTACATAAAATAAAATATTTTAACTATTATAGTTAGCTTAGCTAGACATGAACAGACTATATAAAGTCTTGTGGTCTAGTTGTACAATAGTACAACATTGTACGGAGGGGGAGTGCCCGTAGGTGAGTAAAGTTTTTAATTTAAAAAAAGTATTTTATACCCAGTTCAACTGATACTAATGGTTGTCTTTCCCTTTATCCATGTTTTCACACCTGAATGTTCCACCATGCCAAACCTATGGAAATGACTGAAACTACACACGAATCTAACCCCGAAAACGACCGTCAATATGTGCTTCA